CACTCAGTGAATTTAAAAGCTGCGTTTTGTTTTAAATACTCTTTTGTCTGAAATTTGTCTGGAGTACAAAGCAATTCAATTAGCTTACTTATTATTTATTTTTCTAAGAATTGTGGTCTTTATTTATAATAATGGGCAGAAGGGAGGGAGATATGCAGCAAAGGTTGGACATCTGTAACTCCAACTAACCGTTTGCTCCGCCTCAAACATCATCGATGTTTGAAATGCAAATCATAAAATCATAAATATCTTCAGAAATGTATTTTTATTTCCATATTTTAATCAATTTTTTTTAATCTTTTTTTTTTTTTTTTTACTTTTTCCGATACAAAACAAAACAAATTCTTTCAGCCCTTGCTTGACTACGATGTATGATCACTTCCAGTAGAACCAACTGGCAGCAGAGGAACTGTTTGGCTGCAGCACCAGACTGATACCTGCCTCCAGTCTGAGTCCAGACCTGCTTCATTGATATCACATAGACCCGGCCTCAGAGCTCCACACTCTGACCCTGGATCAGGTCTTCCTGAAGCCTGCTGGAAGATATTTCTCTTCTTGTCATGAGGCTGCAGACGGTTAGCGGCTTGGTTAGACGGTGTGTGTTCGTGTGGCAGATCATGTGACGGGGTGTATTTATAGCTACAGGATGTGTGGCCCAGTAAACTGTGTGTGTTTGTCAGACGTCAGACAGGAAGTGGGCAAGAGCTGTTGAAGGGAGCAGGGAGGGGAGAAACGGTAGGAGAGTCAAAGAGCAGAGAGTCTCAGTCCAGGATCGGGACTGTCAGCTGGACCTTCTGGATGTTCTGGAGTCGGTAAGCTCGCTAATTGGTCCTTCTTGATGATAAACTCCACCTCATGGTTTACTGTGTCTTGTGCCCTGTTGAGTTTTAGTGCTTTCTTCTCTCTGACTCCAGGATCAGAGCTCTCCCTCTTAATTTGTGAAATGAAATATTTAACATTCGCAGCGTTTTAATGTTTTTTTGATTCAAACGGATGGGTCAGGATTGGTGGTTCCTGAACTGTATCTCCTGGAAGCGAGAGTTTGAGTTCCTCAGAGAGCATCAGGATCTCTGCGGTCCATCTGGTAGATTTGGCCGCAGCCTGATCGGTTAGTTTAATGAGCTAGATGCTGGTTTCTGTGTTTGTGCTGCAGCTGCTCCATGGAAAATCAACCCAGAACCTCAGAGCAAACTTTTATTTTTATTCAGCAAATATCACAGCTAAACAACCATGAAAACTTCAAAAACACAGAAGATTAAAAACTGCCCAAATGTAACATCATACAGCGGATATTTAAAGCTGGGGATTCCCTTTTGTCTTAAAATGTGTCTTTGGAACCATTAGCAGACTTTTGCTAGAAGATCTAAACTGTGAAAAGATGAGAGGGGAGGGATCTAAAATATGAACTGATGTTTTAAATCGATTGTAAAATGTTTTGGTTCCAACTGTAAAGAGATCCAAACTGCAGAAATGTGGCGTCTCTTTCTTGTCTTACAGCAGAATTTTGATTGATCTTTTCTATTCTAACAGACATGGCGGTTCTAGAAAGGGGCCATTAGGGGCCAATGCTCCTCTAGAACCGGTCCTGGCTCCTGTACTAAAGACGTAATACATCAAATAAAATAATTCTTATGAATAAAATGTTCTGAGATAGACACCATCACTGAAAGCTCCCTTTGAACTTTTTCTTATTTTTAGCTTCTTATTTTATATATATATTTATATTTTATATATTCTTACTCTTTATTATAATATCAGCAATGATTTAAAAAGAAAGGTGTTGCAATTTTAGCTTCAGTCTTATCGAGATAGGATCCCTGTTTTAGAGCTCCACTCATTACAGTTTTCTGGCCGTTTAGCATCAACATTCATCTTTGATGTTTTAAACTTATTTAACA